CCACTTATTGAATTAATTCTAAAAAATTGTATATTAATTTTAGAATGCAAAACATAAATAATAATGTAAATTTTTTACCTATGCCGGCTCCTGGGCGCCCCACTATGCGGGCCGAGACTTTTTGACAGCGTCTTACTTTGTTTGTCATTTTTTGAGGCCATTTTTTTGCAGGCATGCCTAGAAAAATGTTAAGATTCTCTCTGTAAATTTTCATAATTTTTTGAATTCGTTTTTATTTTATTTTATTTTTTAAATATGAAAAATAAAGAAAATCATAAAAAATAGAATATTCATCAAAAAATGGTGCCGCTTGTAGTATTAATTCCTAAAAATCGTATATTAACTTTAGAATGCAAAACATAAATACAAATATAAGTTTTTAACCCATCCTGACCCCTGTGCGCCCCACTACGTGAGCGGGGGCCTTTTGACAGTGTTTTACTTTTTTCGTATATTAATTTTAGAATGCAAAAGATAAATAAAAATATAAATTTTTTACTCATCCCAGCCCCTAGGCACTCCACTATGTGGGGCGGGGGCTTTTTGACAGTGTTTACTCATTTTTAATCATTTTTTGAGGCTATTTCTTACAAACATGCCTAGAAAAATGTAAGGATTGTGTGTGTAAAATTTCATAATTTTTTGACGTCGTTTTTATTTTCTTTTATTTTTCAAAGATGAAAAATAGAGAAAATGATAACAAAAATATAATATTCATCAAATAATCGTGCTACTTGTTGCATTAATTCCTAAAAATCGTATATTCATTTTAGACTGCAAAACATAAATAAAAATGTATATTTTTTACCCATCCCGGCCCATGGGCGCCCCACCACGCTGGCCGGGGGCTTTTAACAACATTTTACCTTTTTTTTGTTATTTTTTGAGGTCATATTTTGTAGGCATGCCCAGAAAAATGTAAGGATCGTTTCTGCAAAAGTTTATAATTTTTTGTTATTTTATTTTCCAAGGACAAGAAAATCATAAAAAATAGAATATTCATAAAAATGGTGCTACTTGTTGTATTAATTCCTAAAAATCTTATATTAATTTCAGAATGTAAAACGTAAATAAAAATGTAAATTTTTGACCCATCTCGGCCCCTGGGTGCCCCACTACGAGGGTCGGGGGCTTTTTGACAGCGTTTTACTTTTTTTTGTCATTTCCTGATGCCCTTTTTTACAAGCACGCCCAGAAAAATGTAGGGATCATGTCTACAAAATTTCATAATTTTTTGACGTCATTTTTATTTTATTTTATTTTTCAAAGATGAAAAATAAAAATAATAACAAAAAATAGAACATTCATAAAAAAAAATGGTGCCGCTTCTTGCATTAATTCCTAAAAATCGTATATTAATTTTAGAATGCAAAATATTAATAAAAATATAAAATTTTGACCCATCCCGGCCCCTGGGCACCCCACTACGCGAGTCGAGGGATTTTTCACAGTGTTTTACTTTTTTTTGACATGTTTTAGGCCCGTTTTTACAGACATGGCCAAAAAGATGTAAGGATCGGGTCTGCAAAATTTCATAATTTTTTGACATCGTTTTTATTTTATTTTATTTTTCAAGTACGAAAAATAAAGAAAATCATAAAAAAATAGAATATTCATCAAAAAATGGAGCTGCTTGTTGCATTAATTCCTAAAAATTATATATTAATATTAGGCAGTAAAAGATAAAAAGAAATGTAAATTTTTGACCCAACACGGCCCTTGGGCACACAATTACGCGAGCTTGTGCTTTTTGACATCGTTTTTCTTTTTTTTTTTTTGCAATTTTTTATCCCATCTTTTGTAAGCATGCCCCGAAAAATGTAATGATCATGTCTCTAAATTTTTTTATTACAATTTTATTTTATTTTATTTTTCAAAGACGAAAATTAAAGAAAATCATAAAAAATAGATTATTCATTAAAAAATAGTGATGCTTGTTGTATTCCTAAAAATCGTATAGTAATTTTACAATGCAAAACATAAATAAAAATGTAAATTTTTGACCCACCCTGGCCCCTGGGCGCCCCATTACGCAGGCCTGGGGCTCTTGGACAGCGTTTCATTTTTTTGTCATATTTTGAGGCCCTTTTTTACAGGCACGCCCAAAAAAATCTAGGGATCGTGTCTGTAGAACGTCATAAGTTTTTTATGTCCTTTTTATTTTATTTTATTTTTTAAAGATGAAAAATAAAGAAAATCATAAAAAATAGAATATTCATCAAAAAATTGTGCTAGTAGTTGTATTAATTCCTAAAAATCGTATATTAATTTTATGATGCAAAACATAAATAAAAATGTAAACTTTTTACCCATCCCGGCCCCTGGGCGCCCCACTTCGCAGGCCGGGGGCTTTTTGACTGCGTTTTTCTATTTTTTTTTTGTCATTTTTTGCCCTTTTCTTGTCGGTATGCCCAGAAAAATGTAAGGATCGTGTATGCAGAATTTCAGAATTGTTTGAATTCGTTTTAATCTTTTTTTCAAAGACAAAAAATAAAGAAAATCATAAAAAAAATAGAATATTCGTCAAAAATGGCGCTGCATCTTGCATTAATTCCTAAAAAAGACATATTAATTTTAGAATGCAAAACATAAATAAAAATGTAAATTTTTTACCCATCCCGGCCCATGGGCGCCCCATTACGCTGGCTAGGGGTTTTTTAACAATGTTTTACTTTTTTGTCATTTTTTGAGGCCTTTTTTTACAACCATGCCACAAAAATCTGGGGATCGTGTCTGTAAAATGTCATAATATTTTGACGTCCTTTTTATTTTATTTTATTTTTCAAAGAAGAAATATAAAAAAAATCATAAAAAATAGAATATTCATTAGAAAATGGTGTTGTTTGTAGCATTAATTCCTAGAAATCGTATATTAATTTTGGAATGCAAAACATAAATAAAAAAAGTAAATTTTTGACCCATCCCGGCCTCTGGGCACCCTACTTCGCAGGTCGGGGGCTTTTTTATAGTGTTTTTCTTTTTTTTGTCATTTTTAGCCCATTTTTTGTTGTCATGCCCTAAAAAACGTAAGAATTGGGTCTGCAAAATTTCATAATTTTTTGACGTCATTTTTATTTTATTTTATTTTTCAAAGATGAAAAATAAAGAAAATCATAAAAAATAGATTATTCGTTAAAAAATGTTGCATTAATTCCTAAAAATCATATATTAATTTAGAATGTAAAACATAAAAAAAATTTAAATTTTTGACCCATCCAGGCCCCTGGGCGCCCCACTACGCGGGTCAGGGGCTTTTTGACAACGTTTTACTTTTTTATCATTTTTTGAGTCCATTTTTTGTAGCCCCACTATGCGGGTCGGGGGGCACCCCCAGGACACCCCCAGGACACCCCCGGGGCACCTCCGGGGCACCCAAGGCATACCACGGGGGCACCCCCGGGGCACCACCGGGGCACCCCCGGGACACACATGGGGCACCCCTAGGGCACCCCCGGAGCACCCCAGGGGTACCGCCAGGCCATACCCG